ATCCGCAGTGCTGTATAATCTCGATTATGTAAGGATTGGCATGAAGATCTCGACGATTACCCACATTTATTGCTGGCTCATCATCCCACAATAAATTTCTTCTCGGCTTCAGTTTCACTTTCCTTAGATAGAAGATGCCTACAGTGGCAAGTGGAATTCGTAGTTGAAAGATGAAGCATTGTTTCCTGACGGGTTTTCTTGCGTTTCTAATCTGTTTGATTGATATGGAGGAAGTTGCAAAGCAAGTTTAGTTTAACGTGAAAATGATGTCTATTTTCTGTCTAGTTTTAATGATGAGTTAACTTCGTCGGAAACGTTTCAGTACGTCTTCTTGTCAAACATATATATTTGCCCATAATATATTTTGCTATTGGAAAGCTATTTCTGTATCTATTGTTGTGCAACCGTAATGGAATGTATTTTCTAAATGTGCAAAACCCAAAAAGTGTGTCACTGAACGCAGCCAATTTGTTGAAATTTTCGGCACATCAATGCGAAAGAGACGCATGAGAGTCGCTTGAATTAAGGCCTGAGAGTGTGTTTTTCTATGGACGAAGTGCGTAAATAATAAGAACTAGAAGGAAAATTAAATATGTAGTTAAGCTTTCCAGCAAGATACTACGCAGATCTTTATAAATTTTTTCTATGTATATGTTTTTATTTTATATTAGCTAAGTAATCTGCAAAAAGCTAATTATTAAGGCTTTAAGTCAGCTTAATAATGCTACAGTTCGCTTGAGATAATTTTCTTAAATGTGCGAAACATTCAGGAAAGTTTCCCATCATTCATTTTTAGTTCACTGTAGATAAGAAAATGTTAATAATATAAATTAATTTTAAATACAATATCATTTACAATTCATCAAACAATGTTGCTGAAATTTACGATTAAATAGGAGATAGTGATATTTAGGTGGACATTTTCTTATTCGTTCACTAATTGTTAAACAAAACATTCGCCTGTTCTCAAATGTTATTAAAAAAAATTGCCGAATGCGCCAGTTTTATTGTTTTTGCTTTCTCTTTTACATTTCTTCGTGGAATTCCAGGCACAAGAATATACATTGGGCAAAAAGCGTGCTATTTATAAAGTGTAAATTTTAATTTTTGAAATAATTACAAATTTAATTATTTTACTCCTATCGTATAATTTGGTTTTTTTCAATGTGTACAGTCCAACAAAATCAGTTATACATCAAGTTTCGTAGTTGAGGCGATAAGATTTTTGTTACTTGCTGTCATAAGTTACTTTGTATTGAGTTGGGCATTAAACTGAAAAAAATTAAGGTAAAAGCTGTAAAAAATATCTATAGTAAATTTCGTAACACGGAGAAGTAAGTTAAAATAATTTGATGAAATTTCCACGTTTAACATTAATTTTTATAATTATTTTTTTTTATCATTGTGCACGAAAGGACGGAATCAGCTTTCAAGTCAGGGGGGGTCATGGAGTAGCACTTTAAACAATAAACGAAAACGATGCAATGAAAAGTGGCAATTTGCTCCAAATTTTACTCTTAAGTGAATAATTTGCACATTTTCAATTTTCCAAAATTTCGAAATTTCTTGAACAAAAAATTTATTGCAAAATTTTTTGTCAACCATTTAGTTTTTCCTAAAAATACATTTTGGGGTTAAAAAATTTTGGTACGCCGCCAAACTTGAGAACAAGAACAACCGGCGCTTCAGATCTTTGAAAATTTGAACCCTGGAGCTGAAACGGTGACCAAAATGAACATTCCTGAACGGCTCTGAAACAACTTTTTACCCAAACTCTATGGGGATTTCAAGACTTTTAGAATTTGTGAAAAATTTTGATAACTGACCGAGTTACAGGGTAAAGAGTGGAAGTTTGAGAGTTTTACGCTTGCCAATATTTAAAGTCTTCCTTTCAAACTCAAACTTCAAACAAGTTTTCTTACATATAGTGAATGTGTGAATAATACATTTTAAATCGGCGCAATATTAAGGGTTATGTAGAAAATTTCTACAGACAAAATACTGTTTTCTTCAAAAAAAAATTACAAATTAAATCTACAAAGGAAACATTGATCGATTACATTTGTCTTGAAAAATCGCCTTTTCAACCTTCAAACTTTTATGACTTTCAAGTTTCTCAACCGATTTCAATGTTGCAAAGTACGATTTTTAGACAAAATCACTCACTTTAGAAAGAATTTTCAATAATCCAAATCGGGCCCACTTAATTATAATAACAGCATTATATTCATAATATGCCTGCCATTCCCGTGCGTGTTTTCCATCACACAAAGTATTTATTTTCTTAAATTGTCTATTAAATTAGAAAAATTATCATTAGTCGACATAAAGCCCGCACAAGGGGGTGCACTCGTCCTTCAATAATTAACCCTCTAATCGTTCATTAACTAGCCAAATTTTTGTGACGAAAATTCCACTCAATTACCTACCTACGCATATTTTTTTGTTCATCCTTATTAATTGTTCTACAATTTTTAATTAATTTTCATGGATTTCTGTTATAGTAATACTCTTATTTCATATAATTCACCAATTTTCAACTCAGTAATCAACACAATACCCCGAATGATCTTTAAAACTCTCTTTAAGGAGCTCATTACGCTGCTTGAAATCACGCCTTTAAAGTTGAAATTAAAATTAAATTTTTATTTATAATAAACTCATTTTATATTTTCCGTTATTGAGAAAGTAATTTTTGTCGTCTTTCATAAAAAAAATCCTTTTTTTCTATCATTCACAACCATTGCGTAATTTTTTAAAATGTGTAAGTATAGATATATGTATTTGTTATTTTGCAACGCTGAACATTTTGACTAACAATTTTGAGGCAAATACAACATAAAACCGACGTTGATTATGTAATTAATTAATGTAACTCTAGCGATTTTCTAAATAACAAGCGGTATAAAAGGAACAATTTAAATATTCCATTGAAACAATAAAGATATCAAATATTACTCTTTGATAGATGATTACTCTCTGATTTATTTGTTATATAATGTTTTCAAATTTGCTTTTAAATAATATTGTTTTGCCCTGTATATCTTATATTCGATTTTAGATTTTACTGGTTCCTTTGCGTTTTTTGGCAATCGCTTATTGAATCGTTTTATACTTATGACTTTGTAATGATTTTTATTATTAATTGGTTTGTTTGTAAATTATGTTTTGGTCCTTACTGTTTTACTGTTATCTTTGTCTTTTAGAGCCTTCAGCATGATCGAAGAAAAATAACGTTTTATTTTCTGCCGTTTTTTATTGGCCGATAAAGCCAAGCACCTAAACATGTTTCACCAAAAAGAATAAAATTACGAGTTTTGCAAAATGCTGCAAGCCTTAAAAGTTCAGCGATTTTTATATAGAGCTTCTAAAAAATTATGTTTTATGTCAATGTGAAAACATCTTACATCTATCAAAAATGTGAAATTAAGGAAAGTAAAACAATATTTAACAGTATAGAATTGTTTTTTTACTTAAAAATTAGAGACTAACAATTGACATTTAAAACTAGGCAACGTTAACTGGTAATAAGCAGGACACAGATGGAGGGAACTACATAGACTTACAGCTACAGCAGTAGAGACATCTTGCACTTTCCTTCCAAAAGTTGGCTGCTAAAACACCTGAAAGCATTAAAGTTTAGTAAATAAATAACAAAATAATGTATGTGTTATGTTATGTTAATGTTATTACGATTTAACTACCATGTTTTCACCCGTTTACAGATTTTAGTTCTAGCTGCAGCTTAGCTGCGGCAAAATCTTGAAGGTTTTACAGTTTTGTAAAGGAAGGATTTTTTTTGAATGGAAACTTTACTATTCCGCTGGTAAATTAGCACATTTTTCAAGTGAAGTAACGGTAACTGTTGTGTGAAGTTACAGCTCACTTTAAAGTTATTTTATTAAATTCTTCTTCAAGAGAGCGCAGCTGAATTTACTTACTTATTTGGATGTTCTTTGTACAGATAAGCTGGCGCTTCTTCTAGATTACCACCAACCTCCATGGACCTCTTCATGAATATCATGATGACTGTGATGGGTTTCAATCGGAATGAAGATCTTCTTAACGACGGGAACTGGCACATGCACTGGTACGTGAACTTTTTCAATGTGATGATGATGGACCGTATGATGGTATGATGGCACAATAATCTTCACGTGTTTACTGTAAAGAAAATCATATAGGGTTTCAAATGCATTCATCCTAAAGAGCAAGTAATAATAAATAATTATAAATTGTAAGGTTGAGAAATTCATTTGTCTGATTGGGAAAAACTAGATGAAAAGACCGAAAAGAAAGATTTTGAAAATTTTGGAAGGAGGAATAGGTATTATCAGAAATTTCGAAATATTTTCATGAAAATAGTCACTAATGTGTAAAATGAACAACACAATGTTTGAACTCAATGAGTAATTGTTGAGTTAAATATGATAAATTAGAACTTTTGTCTTTGAGTGAAAATAAAAATAACAGAAATACACATAACTAGTAGATATGAAAATTAACTTCAGAAACTACAGTACGGTAAAATTAAAACTGGCGATAAATAAATTGGGTGTTAAACCTATATTTTTAATTATTTATTAATAATTAATAACTTACTGGGATGAATATCCTGGTGCTGCACATGCCAAACCAAGGATGACCGATAGCATCACGACCTAAAAATCAGAAGATTGTTTTTAAACGGCTGCTGAAACTTTGTCAAAATTGATTAGACAAATCTTCACTAAATAAAAAAGTAACCAAAATAAAAAACTTACGAAAACCCGAATGGAGATCATGATAATGTCGTTGATAATCTAATTAACCAGGTCACTAGAACACCAGAAAGTGATACCGAACATGCCGAAATGATTCAGTTTATATATGAAGTGGCAGCATTTTCCCCTACCGAATTAGCTGCATTATGAGTCCAAACTGGTATCAGGTATTACATAAAGCCGAAAATTCCTTTTTAACTTACCCGAACAAAAATACATTTTCGTCAGATTGGTTTGTGTGTGTGTTGTAAAGTGAGAGTCCAAATGTGGCAATTTTACTTGACGGAACGCCATCGGTAGTCCAAGCACGGGAAAAGACACTAGCTATTAGGCGATGTGTTTGTTTAATGGACATTAATTAGGTTCGATTAATATGCATTATTTTTAAATTTGCTTTATTCTTTGTTTACGATTGTGCAATGGTGAGTAAAATGCTGTAATTTTTGCACATCAGGAAGCCGCCATTGTTGCAAATTGCAGTTTTGCTTAAAAAAGCAATATGTCGAAAAACAGTTTTATTGCATAGAGATTTATTATTATAGCAATTGAACTCAAATTTTGAGATTAATTTGTACTGTTTTTTTCTTATTTCTAGTCACATTCTAGGAAACTGTGGGAAACGAAATCAATATTTATCATTTAATTTAAGCGGTTAAGTTAAGTTCATTTGGAGCATTTTGTTCCAATTTTATTCCAGTCAGATAAGACTTTAAAAGGCCTGTTTCGGGTAATAAATAGATGAAGGTAGAAGATTATTGCAAGTGGTTCGGAAAGATGTCAAAATAGTGGGACAATAGTTTGAGCCCGATTTTCGGCTGTGGAAGATTGTTTAAATAATTAAAGAAAGTGCAAAAAACCGTTTTTTTGCGCACAACCTTGGAACATTTCATGCCATTGAAAAACAGTTTTATAATTCTTTTCAAGTATTATAAATACCTACAAGATGAGACAAAGTAAATTAAAATCCGTTCATTTGTTTACTCGAAAAACCGAAATAAAAAAACGCCGATTTAAGGGTTTTTATCAATTATCTATAATTACTTTAATTTTGTTTAAAAAAATCGTACTATAACTGTATACTGTAGGAAGGTCTTTGTATACTTTAAGTAAGTGGTATAAATTTTAGCTTAAAATATTGATTTTTCGTTCATTCCTATTTGTTGTTAAAAAAATGCTCTTGCTAGATTCTAAATAAGTTTTTTTTGAGACGTCGGAGCGACTGCTCTAAAGCTATATTTTACTCGTAAAGAGTTATACTACAGCTTACAGTAAACGAAAAGTTGATTAATAAATGGTAAATTGTTTAAACATTAAGTTGAAAATTCAACCGCGCCAAACTTCAGCCGCGGGGCAACTGCGAGCCCGGCCCACACAGATTCCTGATTTTCAACTTAATGTTTAAATAACTGACCATTTAGCAAAGAAATTGCCCTTTATTGTACGTTGTGGTATAACTCTTTACGCGTAAAATACAGCCTCAAAGAAGTCTCTCCGACGTCTCAAGAACAAATGGACAACATAACAAAAGGCAATGAACAAAAAGGATTGAATATTTTAAGCCAACGTTTATACCACTTATTATTACAAAGGCCTTCAAAAAAAGTTACAGTGATATTTTTTGAAGCAAAACTAAATCAATTATAATTTAAAAAAAATCAGTTTTCGTTTTTTGAGTAAACAAATGAACGGATTTGAATTTATTTTTTGTCTCATATTGTAGGTATTTCAAATATTTAAAAAAAGGTATAATTTTGTTTTAAAAACATCGACGGTCCTGAAGTTATGCGGAGAAAACTGTTTTTCGCACTTTCTTGCTAACTAAATTTTTTATCCGACTGACTATTTGGGCATTTTAAAATAATTTCTTAAAATCTACCTCGTATATGTCAAAACATGTCGATTTGCCTTTTTTAATTGTTTTCTCTATTTTTTAAGTGTAAACCTGTAAAACTGTTTTTCAAAATGTATTTCAGATGATTGTTTCATTAGCAGCTTATTGAACTTTTTTCTAAAAATGTTTATTTTCGAAGTTTTCTTCGCTGCAATACTTTCCAAAATTCCTCAATGCATCTTCAGATGTTTTATGAAAATTCCAGATCGGAGAAAAACTTCATACTCGTCAACAATGACTTTGCGTTTTCTGAAGTAAGCCAAGTTACATAAAAAGACATAACCGTTTATCTTAAACTCTCTTTCCTCTGAATAAATTTCAGATCTCCTTCCCGAACTGACCTTTCAATATTTCAGCTGTAACCAGATGCCCGGATGATTATCAACATAGTTTTATAATCGGATTGTATTTCTTTGGTTGGCATACATTAATGCAATAATTAATATTTTACATAACTTGATCCAACGTTTATTAAAAAAAAAAGGATTGAAAAAAGAGTAACGAATATGAATATTGAGGTTTAAGCAATATGACAACTATTAGTGATAACGGAAAATTAAAAATTCGTGTTACAAACTAGCAGGAAAAGAACATATGATCGTTTGAACCAAAAAAAAAATAGATATGGGTGAATTTAACAGTCATATTGATACTAGAGCTATTTTGCAAACTGCATTTTTTACCAAAAAAAAATAAATTTTAAACTATAAATTCAGTTAATAAGTTAAACTCCTAAACGCCATCCAGTGAAGACAAACATTGTTGCTTAATATCGACAAAGTTAGTAATAGATAATGGTCATCTCAAAAACAGTATGGAAACGGCACTTTTTACAAAAATAAATTAAAAAATATTAAATCAGTCAATAAGTTAAAGTCTAATAAAACTAAAATAACATTTTATTTGGCAATCACATACGATTGATGCCATAAATTCTAAATATTTGTGTAAACGACGGAACTCTTATGAAATAATGAATATTTCAATAACGTTTGAGCCTATTGGACGAACCAAAACGATTTCCCGCTTTAGTTGTGTTCGATTAAATAAGCTGAGAATGAGAATTTTATGTAATACAGGCCATTTTGACTGAAGTAATACTCATCTGAATATTAAGACATGAATATATTAGGCAAAACACCATCGAGAATTAATTAAAGTAATCGATTACTTAAGAAAAGTTTCCACAGTTTATTGGTTATAAATAGTGGATAGCTCGTTTCCAACTTGTGGGTGTTCATTTTCTGATATTTTAGAACTTCCGAACGTTAGAAACGTTTTAGCTTGCAATTATCAAATTTTGAAATAATTAATATCTTTCACAACTGGACCATTTGGTTAAGTTTTTTTGCGAAAACTTAATTATTACTCGAAGTGCATCGGCTATTTTACTGTGTCAACAGGCCAAAAACTGAGATAATATTTGCAATAAAATAATTTTAATATGGCATTCTATATTGTCAAGAAAATGGTTAATTAATGAGAAGTTTCCTATTTCGCATTAAAAGAGCTTTGCGGCCATTGATTGCAACTGGTCCGTTTTTCGGGCGTTCAGACCGCCATCGAAAGAATTTCTGTTGGTGAAGGTTTTCTCTGAGAGGCTTTTACTTTTTTTCACGAAAGCTCAAAGCTTGGCATTTTTTCCACTTCGGAAAATCGGCTCTTAATTGGGCTTGTTTTGAGGTAAAAAGTGTGGAGGATTTCTGAAAGCTTCCAGTGTAAATAAATTCGTCTGTAGCTTTGCTTTCTTAAGAAACTTCAATTATATTGAAACCTGCCTTCCAAAACTGGAGAACCGAACGCTCTTCAGTTTTTCAAAACTACGCGCTTTCTCAGTAAAATCTGACTGTAGCTGCGCAGTTTTAGTGAGTTTCCGGTGTTTCCGCAATCTGCGTTATCCTCACTATTTCAAACTTTGAAAATTGGCCATTCACTAGGGTTTGTGCGATGTGAATAGTATGGATGGATGTTTCCGAAAAAAATCTGCTATAGTCTCAATGTCTTCTTGAAGCTCCCCTGTCGGAAGGCGACTTTCAAAAACGTGCAATTTTCTTTTCCCGCAATTTTTTTAATTTTCAAAATCATTCCTTAATTGAAGTCTTCACAAGCCAAAAGACGGGAGTGTTTAAAAAATAGACAAATCCGGCTATGCTTTCTGCGGCTTTGGGAACTTTTGACATCTTAAGGCTCAAAACCTTCGTTTCTTCTGTATTTTTGAAAAATCGACGATGAAACTCAATTGAGCTCGTTTTGAGATGAGCAGTGTAGATGATTCGAACATCAAACTTTGCGCTGTAAATTAGGCTGTAGTGGAGAGTGAGAAGTGTATCGGAACGCAAACTTTCCAGAACAAATCTGGCTGTAACATCGATGTTTTAGAAACCTGTATTCGAAAAGCAAAAGTCCGTGCGTTTTCCAATTTTTTTCAAAAAATTCAAATTTCAAAAGTTTTTCAAATTAAAAATTCGGCCCTTCATTCGTTTCGTCTTGTGGTGAAGGGTGTGGAAAGTTTCAAAAAAACACTTTACTGAACTTATCCGGATGTAGTTTTACTGTCTAAGAGTTGCTGGCTTCTAAAGTCGATAATATTTGCTTTCTTCAGTTCTTAGAAATTTCAAAATCGGCCCATAATTGCGCTGGTTCTTATGTGGAGAGTTTAGAAAGTTTACACAAATTTCTCGAAATAAATCCGGGTGTATTTTAGGAATTTTAAGAAACTTGCGGTGTCTGAAACCTGCTTCTTTCTGAAATCTGCACTCTTTCATCAGTTTTTTTATGTTTGAAAATCTGCTGTTAATTGGCTCGTTTCGAGGTGAGGTTTTAAACAAACATTTCCGGATTAATCTTTAAAAGTTGTCGATTAATGGCGCTCGCTTTAAAGTGAAGAGTGCGGAGGGTTTCAACAAGCTAACGTTCCCGGATTAATCCGCCCGTAGTTCCCGTTGATTTACGAACTTCTTTCATATGAACTATAAGAACAAGAGCACAGAATTTTTGCATTTTTGGGATTTTTTGAAATTTTAAAACAGGGCCTTATCTGGGCGTGGAACAATGTGGACAGTTTCAAAAACTTCTTCAACCGAGCTTTCTTCAGTTTTAGAAAACTACACCGTTTTCCAGTAAAATCGCTGTGGCTGCGCTGCTTTAATGAGTTTCAGAGACTTCCTTCACTAACTCAAAATTTTAAAATCGGCCATTGACTAGGGTTCTTGCTAGGTGAATAGTATGGATGGTTTGAAAAAAAATCTGCCATAGTCTCAGCGACTTCCTGAAGCTCCGCCTTCGGAAGAAGAAAAAAGGAGCAAAAAATAATTTCTAGCGGACAAATCCGGATATGTTTTCTGCGGCTTTATGAACTTTTGACATCTTAAAGCTCAAAACCTTCGCTTTCTCCTGTATTTTTATAATTTCGAACCGGAACATCAATTGAGCTCGTTTTGAGGTGAGGAGTATAGATTATTCGAACAACAAACTTGCTGTTGCAAATTAGGCTGTAGTATCCACGCTGCAAGAAACTTGGATATTTTGCTT